TCCCCTCCCTCCCTCCCTCCCTCCCTCCCTCCCTCCCTCCCTCCCTCCCTCCCGTCTTCCCTCCCCTTTCTCAAGTTCCAGCAGACTCCTGGGCAGCACCTGGAGGAGCTTTCGATCGTCTTGCTCAGCTCATCGAACGCGCAGTGGAAGTTAGCTCTTCCCCAGCTGTCGTCGTGTCCATGTCCATGGGGGGACCTTTCTTTGCGCTCTTCTGCTCACAGCACGTCTCAGAGGTCTTGACTGCTCTCCTCCCCTCCACTCCTCCCTGCCCGCACTTCCTTGTCCTCTATCATCTCCTTCATACATGGCTACTCCACCCCACACTTCTCTCTTCCTCCTTCCCTCCCTTCTCTCTTTCTCCTTCCTCAGGTGGCCCCTCCATCGCTGCTTCATCTCATTTCCCAGCAGGCTTGGAAACTTCGGCACATTCAAACGTTCGTGTCAGTCTCTGGGGTGCGGCAGGACCTTTCTTACTTCCTCCCTCCTCACCTTCTCCGCAGGTTTACGGCGGCTCCTCGTCCCCGCTGCTCACTCTCTTCTCCGGCAAGTGGGGCTCGCTGATCCCGAGCATCCTTCAGCCCTTCAGCCTCAAGACGGTCGGGAGGGGGAGGGCATTTTGATCTCTCCTCTCACTTCACCTCTCCTCTCTCCTCTCTTCCCTCAGGCCCGAACGTTTGCAAGTCTCCCTTGGCTGCTTCCTTCCGACCGAGTCTTCAGCAGCGATCGGGTTAGATTTCGTTGAAACCACCTCAAGAGCTCACCAACACCTTCTCTTCCTCCCCCTCACCCCTCCCTTCTCACCCTCGTCCTCATCCCCTCATCCTCATCCCCCTCGCCGTCCTCCCGCAGGTTTGGATACGCACCAAGTCAAGAAACTTCACCGCATCTGAGCTTCCCGAGGCTCTCGAGCTAGCAGGAGCGTACTTCTCCGCAAACCGAACGGTCGAGTGAGCATGGGTAAGAAGCGACTTGACATCCTTCAACAGCGAGCATTCGCATCCCTCGCAGGTCAAGCGCTCGCGCCAAACGTGAGTAGAGGAGAGGAGGAGGAGGAGGAGGAGAAGCAGCAGCAGCAGCAGCAGCAGTAGGAGGCTGAACAGTCGAGCAGGTGACGACTTTCTGCTTTTTTGGAGCAAAACTTCCGACAATCGAAGCGCTTGAATGGAACGAGGAGGAGCTGAGAAGCCCTCCTGACTCCGCCAGCATGGGCATGGGGGATGGGACGGTGGGCAAGAGGACGAGGCCGGATGGTGACTGAGCAAGAGGCAGGTACTGGCTGAAAGCCTCTCAGCTTGCATGGAGTGGGCGAAAGTTCAACGAATGCCAGTGAAGAACGTGACTTGGTGAAGACTATCTTGTACCTCTATCCTCTATCTCCCTCCCTTCCTCCCTCCCTCCCTCCCTCCCTCCCTCCCTCCTTGCCCCAACATTCCAACACCTCCTCCGTCCATCTCTTGCTTCTCTCCCTCCCTTCCCGCATACCTTTTTATCCCCCTCATCCCTTTTTCACTCTCATTTGTCTGCACCTTTGTCTTCTTCCTGCTCTTGATTCTGACTTCTATCAGGGACTACGTGGCTCACACAGATATGCTCAAGTGGCCGCCAGTCTTCAAGAAATTCTTTGAGATACTCGTGGGGTGAAACAAACACAATCTCCTCGCTCGAGGAAGCCACTCACAAACTTATCCCTCCCGGCTTCAAGTCGCCTCGCTCTTTCCTGGGAGGAAGTCGGAGTCCTTAGGAAGCTGCTTGCCCTCGTTGAACTCGGCGACGACCCACACGCTGGCCCCATCCTGAAAGCACGTCCTGTACTTGATGGAAGAACGGGAGTCCTTGGAGAGCAGCTTGTTGAGGCGCTGCTTGAGAACTGGTACGGGGACACCTGACTTCTCGATCTTCTTGAGGTTCAGCTTCTTCACCATGTACAAGACTCCGTCATTCTTGTGCTTCATAGAGAAAGTCTTGCCCAAGGAAGTTTCCTCAAGGACCGCGGACGAGCTGCTTTCCGGTCAAAAACATCGCGTGCATACAAGGTGGTTACCTGTCCTCGGGGTCGGGATGATACTCTAGTGAATCAAGAGAAGCAGACAGCTGATGTGGTTTCAACCACTCGGCAGTCTTGTCCATGAGGTGCAAAGCAGCTTCTGACTTGCGCTTCTTGGCGGCTGCGAGGTCTACAGACGTCATGTCATGCCACAAGAAGGCAAGCTGCTTGCTCTTGTTCGAGCCAGCGCTAGATCGGATGGAGATTTGCAATTGGCAATTCACAGCATTGCGTTCCTCGGCAGACAGCTTGAGGGCGGTGGAAGTTCTCAGGAGAGAAGTCTGGATCTCTTTCGCAACAAGGCCTGAGTTGTCCTCATCCCCCAAAGCAAGAGCAGATTTCATGGAAGCTTGCACAGAGGCAAAGACGTCAGACTTCATCAATTGAGCGATATCCTTGCCCTCGATGTCCTTCTTTTGACAGTCAAGCAACTTTGTCAATGCCTCGTTGCAAGAGATCACAGTGCCATCTTGGACAATTGCCATCGGGCCATCTACAGCCTCGAGAACAACACCGTCGTCTTTCCTTCCCGAACCAACAACAGCATTGACAACGGAAGCAAAAGCCTTGGCAGCGCGAAGGTCACTGCTATTCCAGGCCACGCACGTGGCCTCGACCTTCTCGGCAAATGGAGTGTAGTCGTGTCTTGGATGCATAGTACCCATTGGCTCATTCCAAATAGCCTTGACTTTGGGGTTGCCAGCCCAACTGACCGTGTGCAAGTTCTCAGGGCGGAAGAGAAGGATCATGCTGCTTTCCAGAATTGGGATGCAAATGCAGCCAGCTGCCTTTCGAAGTGAGTTGCTGTCTAGATCAGGAATAATGTCCCGTAGCGAGTTAAAGGCCTGTAAGATATTAATTGGCACGTTCGAGTCTCCATATGAGAGTAATACCTGCACTTGTCTTTCTGAGGACTGTGCAAATCGCTTCTTCAAAGCCTCAACGATCTTGAAGATTGAATCCTGTGAAGGGAGATCTCCGATGGTCATGAGCTCATTCTGATGATAAATCGCAGAGCCTAGCCTTGACGTCAAATTGAACCCAACTTCAAAGAATGTACCTTGAAGATCCTCTACAATGTCAGAAACATTTGGGATACCTTCAACCAGTCCTGCAAGCTTTCCATCGCACATCTTCTTGAAAAGTTGATCGAAAATACTGAAGATTCTTTGGTATTCCATGTGAGATTTCTTCTCATGAACCTTGAGGAGCTCCAATGTGTAGGCATCGGTCAAGGCAGAGACGGCAACTCTCATCTGAATTGAAGGATGCTTAGCTTGCAAGCTGTGCCCTACCAGCATAGCGTGGAAAGTGTCCTTTAGGACGATTGGATACGTAATGGAGCTACGCATTCCCCACGCCTATGTATGAGTTAGGCAGTTCCTGAATCGATGGTTCACTGACCCCAAGCTGCTCCAAATAGCAGCGATGTGATGCTCGGAGAAGGGAAGCACCAAGATTGATATGTTCTCGCTCCAAGTTTGGATCGTTCTGAAGCAATGGCTACTCAGATATGGAAACGGTTTTCTTCATCGGAACATCAGAACAAGACACACGGACTTACGGAAATGATTTTGGCCGGATTCGCTCCTGCGTCATTCACGGTGCTGAATCGGATTTTCAAGAACCGCATTCGAACACTTGGGCTCAGGATTTCCTAAACCGCATTTTTAGATCCAGCTCACAAGCACCCAAGAAGTACTTCAGGCCACCGAAGTCCTTGCCATGAATCTTTGACCACCTTGACCTGTAAAACAATTAATACAATAAAGAAGGTTTCAAGCATTCATTACCCTCCTTTCAGCCTCGACCATGGAAGTGCCATCTTCGTAGAAATTGCCCACAAACATGCGATCATAACCCATGATTTTGAAGGCATCCCAGCACAACTGGAAACATACATCCTGATCACAAACGAGTAGGCAAGAATGATTGATAGATCATACTTGTTGACTCAATTCCAATGGAGTGTGACAGAGGTCTAGGTTCTTGATCGCCACACGAACTTTTGCGTTGGTCTCAACAAAATCATCACAAGGGTCCAATTCCTCCTGAAAAAATTGAACAAAGAGTCACGCAAAATCTGCAAGGATTTCTTTGCAAAACTTACGATGTCTGCAACAAAACCGAACGAGCTTTTGGACAAAACCATATTGACCATCATGCATTGTCCGGGATTAGCTGAAATTGCATATATTATGATTCAAAGAAAGTTTCAACTTTCTCACCAGAATGCGCGACGGAAAGGGTCACAGGATTTACCAATTGCCCAATTCCATTCAACGAATTGACGGAACTCTCGATACGATGTTTTTCTTCAAACAAATCCAGAAACGATTTTCCCCTAAAGCACCAATGAGACAAGAAAACGCTCTTTCAAAACCTCTATACAAGAGATCCTGCGCCTTCGCCGGGAAAAGAATTTCTGCATTTTCACTGCAGGCCTTGATCTTCAGAGAGCCATCGTCATGAAGCAAGAAAAAGACTCCATGAGGCTGAACTGCTCCTGCATAATCAAGAACCCTACAGAACAGGAAAAGATCTTCATCAAAGAATATTACAATTCAGTCTGTCCTCCACCTGCAATATTCGTGGATTTGCATGGTAGAAGGGATTCGGCTGTCATCTGCATGGATTCCTGCTAAGATTGTGAGCGAGAAGTCTGGCAAGGCTTTCTTGAATGACCTCCATACTCCTTGGAGATCCCCTTAGCAAAAGGTTCGCTGGATACAAGTCAGAGATCATGTCCAGCATTGAATACACCTGCTCACCTCACACGAACGTCAGGCTGAAGAGAAGCAGCCATGGTACTCGTGAGATTCTGGAGAGAGTTCATCTGAAGTGCACGAGTAAGCTTTCGATGATTCCCCGATGAGGAAGAGTCATCAGGACGAGAGGGGATCATGGGAATGAGGAAGCATGCATGATGAAACAAGGAAAGCAAGGCTGGTTGACGCCTAGCGTCCTAATAATGGGTGAAATGCTGGGTCAGGAGCAGCTAAAACGTGCTACTGGAACAAAGCCTCCAAACTTGCAGGAGCAACATAGAATGGAGTTGACATGAGATCATTGCAGGTTCAGACAAGACATGCTGATGCGGAAAGGAGAAGAAGATGCATTGACGGCACTGGAGGCGTCAGAGCTGCAGGAAGACAGAAGGGGGGAGGATGCGACGAGTTGCGGGTTGGACATGCCGGGGGTCGCAGGAGGGTCGGAACTAGCACAGGAGGTAGGGTCATTACAACCAGGGGTACTGATCGAAAGGTGGGGTACAAAAGTGAATCGAGCAGATCGCAGTCTGAAGTCAGAGGTGAAAGGGGTGATAAATACAGTTAAAAGTACCGGTAATACATGAAGTAAGAAAAGGTCAGTTGTTGAAGTTGGGTGGGTGATGTTTCAAGAGGGGGTAGTGGTCATGCAAGGGGGGTTGAGGGTACCGAGGAGCAAGGCGTAACCATCTACTACCCCACCTCTACATATTCGATTCATTCAGAGGGTGGGGTACATTTACTTGGAGTGATGCCTGAGGCGAGCTTGAATCAATTTTTTTCTTTTGTTTTTGTTTTCTTTTGTTTTTGTTTTCTTTTGTTTTTTGTTTCTTTTACAGATGTTGTCCGTCGGGTTTTGGCCGAAATAATACACTCCCCCGTGAAACACCCCCACCCCCCTGTCGTCGCCCCACCCCCACCACATATCCATACTGTGATAGTAAACTACCCCATCTTTAGAGGTAGTAAAGTCGATGACCACCACCCCCTGACTGACGACCCCTTATCCCCTCAAGCGGTGTGGGAGACAGTTGATCGGAGGAAAAAAGAAAAAGTTAACAGTGACGAGAAGGGTGGGTCATATTTTGAAATACCACCGGTGATTTACTCGTACTTTGGAGGGGTGAAGCGCTCATAAGGCCTCACCCCTACCCCCTTGAAACAGACCATGACCATCCCGCCCTCCATATACGTGCCGCATCGTCCTTGTAAGTGCTGTACAACGGCGCAATGGCACAGCTCCGTTGTCCTTTCGCACCCTCCTCCTCCTCCTCCTCCTCCTCTCTCCTCGTTCTTCTGGCCTGTGCCCTCCCTGCTGTCTCAGCTTTCCATGCTCCATGCCCCTTGGGCCTCAGGCCGAATGTTGTGTCTTCGTTCAAAAACGTCATGAGGAGTCATCGGCGAGACGCCTGTCATGCCTTGAGAGCCTCTTCCAAGCCCCTCCTGAGTGATCAGCAGAAGCAGCACACAGCAGAGAGATTGGGAGGCATGTCGAGGTGCTTGAGCTTCGGCATGCTGGAGGCATGGGGGTGCTGACGTTTGTGCAGGGGGGAGGTACAGCACATCTTCGAGGATGTCGATCGGGACGGCAACGGCATGATCACGATGGACGAGCTCGACTTCCTCGTCCCCTACTTCAGCGACTCTCATGAATGGACCCCGACCTACAAGAAAACTCTCTTCAATGACATCGACAAATCACAGAACGGAAGCATCGATAGCGAAGAGGTAGGCCTCCTCCTCCCTCCTCCCTCCTCTTTCTCCATTGTCTTTCATCGCCTCTCGATGCTGATGGTTCTTCTCAGTTCTATGACTGGATGGTGTTCAATGCGGAAGCGGAAGGAGGAGAGGGGCTGGGCTCTAAGGTGCTCAAGAAGAGAGCCGAGCGGCTGGTGATCGGCGACGGTGTCATTCCCCCCCACCTGCTCACCCTGCTCGATGACTTCGGCACTGGGGGGATCGTACAGAAGGTAACTCATCCCCTCCACTCGGCGTTCGGCCGTTCTCTGCGCGAGCACTTCATCTCTTGCTACGTGCTCTTGGAGCAGTGGGGCAACCCCAAGGAGGTGGTGGAGGCCGGGCTGTTCCATGCCCTGTACCAGCGCGGAGATGGCATGCGAGCGGTGAACGCGGACGAGACTCGCCCGATGCTGCAGGAGAAGTTGGGGAAAGACGTCGAGGAGCTCATCTACTTGTTCCCCTCCGCTCACAAGTCGGCCTATGAGCCCGACGGGCTGCTGCACGCTCCTCTCGGGGAAGTCGTGACGGTCAAGAACGTGCTGACCGGAGGCGTCGTGAGCTTCGACGAGGTGAAGAGGAAGAAGCTCGTCGAGCTCGAGGTGGTCAACTCGCACGATCAGAACGTGCTGGAGAACGTTGACCCGGTTCACAACCTCTGGTCCTTCTACCAGCATGCCACAGTCATGCCGTTACTCTCTGCTCCTGCCCAGCAGACGATCAAGGAGTTCTTGAAGCGCTCCTACGGGGCCTCTTGCGCGAACATCGTCAAGTGGCATGAGGGCAGGTTCAAGGAGACTGGGAAGCCGATCCCCGACAACTGGGAGAGGCATCTCGACATGTTCCGACCTGGAGGACGCTACCTCCTTGTTGAGGAGGAGCTGCATCATGCGGACAAGAATGGAGACGGCGAGATCGACTGGAAGGAATTCACCGAGTTCCTCTCCTCCAAGTTCAGGACGTGCCATGGCAAATGAAGTTTACAAGCTACTGCACGCAGGAGCTCGGAGCGATAATAAACTACTCTACACTCAACCCTTTTTAGCTGCAGCCCGCTCACGCTGGAAGCATGCTGCATGGCATTAGGCAGAGCTCCTGCCCCTCCGGCATGTGGTCCTCCGCCCCCAGCTGCGCGATGTCCCAGTTCAAGGACAGGATCGTCTTCACCGTCGTCCTGAAGCGACTTGCCACGTCACTGAGCATCTCGTGCCTCTTAGTCTGGTAAGTGACGCCTACGAAGAACAGGCCGTCGGTCTTGGAGCTCACGATCGCGTCCGGGTTGCGGATCAGCGTGCTGTTGACCCCGTTGACGTTGCCGTTGAGCGCCCAGATCCTCAGCCAGTTCATGTCTGACGCGAAACTCCGCATGACCTGGGACGAGGATGAGACGAAGACAGGAGGGAACAACACAAGGGAGGAGGAGGTGGTGGAGAGCGGAGGGGAAGGGGAAGAGGAAGGGACGAGAGGAGGGCGGGGGCTGCTGAGGAACTACCTTGATGAGCGTGTCCTGAGCTTCGAAGCAGTAGCGACATCTCACAATGGTCAGCGTCATGCAGCTGGTCGCCTGGTTGCAGAGCCCTCCCATGCAGTCGGCATCCGACCCGCATGCAGCGCCCGGCTGAGCTCCACCGCTGCAGGACCGGCCGAGGGAGCGGATGCTGAAGACATCTCGCGCTTGGATGCAGACCTTGAACGACATCCCCTCGATACCCCTGCACTACTGTCAGCACTTCCCCAGCAGCTACAGCAGTCCTTGCCTCTGCGGGATCCACACGAGGTGGCTGGAGGTAGTGCACTGACTTGTACCCATGATGCAGCCGGCTGTCGGGGGAGCAGAGGACGTCAAGACGGCTCCGTCCGGCAGCCCGTCGGTCTCGATGACGAGGGGATAGTTGCCAGTGTAGGCGCCGGGGACACGCGTGCTAGCTGAAGTGTCAAGCCGGACGAGAAGGTAGTGGTCTGACCTTTCTGTGGTGTCGTCCACCTGGAGCAGCAGCTGGGTCCTGCAGCCGACAAACGCGTCGATTCGTGTGAAGAGGTTGGAAGTCTCCGGGCGCCAAGTGAGCTGGGGGAGAACGACCTGAGAAAAGCGCGTGAGGGGGAGGGCGGGAGGGAAGGGGGCGCAGTCAAGACCTCGAAGACGACGCAGTGAACTTCAGAGTACCAGCCATAGACCGTCGCGTCTCTGATCCCCCGGTTCGCACACCTGACTCGATTGTCATCCGACGGTTCGCACGTTCCTCTCACTCACCCCGTGCTGTCGTCCCTCGCCGTCATGCACACTCGATACGCTTTGCCCGCATCCTCCGGCAGCGCCTTGTACTCCACCTGCCGCCTGGCCCGCGAGCAGGAGGAGGCCGTGTCGTTCTGCAGGGCAGAAGTCCACTTCTGCTTGGGGTACACAGTCGGGTCGATGACGTCAGCAGCTCGGCACATGGACGAGTCTTGGAGGCGTGGGATGCAGGTGGAGCGAGAGATGCGCATGTTCTTGATTGACCCGGGGTTCTCAAGGAGGAAAATCTTGATGCGGTCCCAGGGCTCCGGGTCCTGCGCGACGAAGGTGACGGACTTGCTCTCGTTGGCTGCTATCCTGATCCTCTTGTACGCTGCCTCCACGTACTCCCCGTTGATGGACGTCGGAGCGAAGGAACTCTTGGTCATGTCAAGCCACGCCTGGTTGAAGGGAGACTCCATCCCTCCTGCGTCGGTCACGAACACCGGTGGTGCCTGAAGTCGGATCTTCCAGCAGACCTGCTGGGAGACCTGGTCGCCGTTGTCGTGCAGCCTCTGCCAGGGGTACCTGTCGTCCCCGTTGGGGTCTGTGCTGCCGACCCATCGCCCGTACCTCCACCTGCTGTCATCGTAGGCTGCTGCACACACCACCTGGTCCACGTTGGACCGGATCTCTCGGCAGCTCTGCCCGCAGCTCTGCAGGAAGCTCGAGAGCCCGTTGCTCTTGACGAGGTCCAACGTGTACGAGACGGCGAGGTACGGCTTCTGCACCAGCTTGATGCTGGACACGTACGACGAGTAGAGCGTCTTGATCTTGTTGCAGGTGGGATCAGTGCAGGAGCTCTGCTGGACGGGAGCAATGGTCGTCTGCGCGGCATTGTCTCCGACCCGCGCAGCTCCGTAGCCTTGGAAGCTCCCGCAATTACCCGGAAGCGACTGAATCGGAGCAGAGGAGAAGAAATTGGCGTTCCACCGCCCGCCGTTCTCGATGTAGTTGCTGATGCCATCTGAGCACTCGTCAGTCCCTTCACCTCTCAGACTCCTCAGCATCTCCGCGCTTGCCTGGAAGCTCACGGTCGATGTCCGGGTCCACCACGTGAATCCTAACGTCATCGCCATCAGGGTCAGAGGCTGAGATGTTCAGCAGGATGGGAGCGCCAGAGCACGCGAACACGTCCATGCGCTGACACACGTCAGCACTCGCTCAACCTCCTCCCTCCCGCCTTACCTGCGGCACAAGCAACCCGTTGTCGTCGTAGGAGGGAGCAGCTTGCATGGAGGAGAGTGTGGAGTCGAAAACTGGAGGGTTTCCTTGGAACTTGAACTTGACGCAGTAAGGAAGCGAGCGGCAGGAGCACCTCTCTCTCTGCGACTGGCACGCGGCCTACCCTCATCTCAGTCGCTTCTTGTCAAACTTCCGCTCCTCTCACCGCATCGTGCACGTCGTAGGCGACGAAGCAGCGCGTGATAATCTTTCCTTGCACCTGAGACGATCTTAGCGGATGACACCCTCGCACTTCGGAATACCGAGGGAAGGTATCCGTCCGTCAAGAGCCTCTCAGTCGTGTCAAGCGTGTAGGTGCACTGCAACGATCCTGTTCCCACGCACGTCCACGTCTTGTCTCCGTTGCCCAGCGCCGACTCGATGCGGATGGTGTCCGTGGAGAGGCGGGTCCGGTCTTCCGTGCCGTCCGCGGCGATGGGGAAGTCAAGGGCGAAGAGGTCCATGCGGCAGGTGGTGGCGTAGGTACAGATGACTTCATGCACGAGATTCTTGGTCGCCCTGTTGATGTCCCTGACCAGCGATAAGTCACGACAGCACGAGGGCGAGGAGTCAGACGCACAGAGACGTGTAGAACTCTGGAGGCTGGTTGAGACTTCCGGCGAAACAAGAAAATGTGGAGAAGATCTGTGAGCGATCAGCCATGGTACTCAACGATACTTGTCAAGGGACCTGCTGGGAGGATCCCGAGGCTTGAAAGGCCTTCTTGAAGGTGCTAGATGAATCCCTAGGACGCCTTTTCAGACCTCCTTCACAACACAATTTGCACATACAGGAAGGCAGGAACTTTGTAGTAATGATCTTCCAAGATGTCCCTGCCGCTGGCATCCAGGGGGTTGTCGATGTCAATGAAGGGGAAATCAACTGTTACAAGTTATCAGGTCAACCAGTTCAAGCAACCTTTGACAGACCTGCTGCAAGGGCATGTTGAGTGAAAAAGGACTGACGGGTGCTCGAGACGTTGTAGTATACGTACTCGACGTGGTTCTCTGCAGTCAGTGTTACTCATCCGACGGATCAAAGGGAGGAGGATGAAGGATGTCGTACCCGTGATGCCCTGTACCGGGACCCAATCAAAGTCGAACTTCAAGAAGCGTCCGGCCTGGTTGTATCCGTTGCGATCGAAGTCGAACATTTGTCGACAGGTGGACCATGTAGTGTTACACCATCCCTGATCCAATGTCATAACACATTCAAGTAATCGCTAGGAATCGCTCGTTGCCTGGATCGATTCTCCTCTGGTATTCTTGTACACACACTGGTCAATCAGTCAGTACACTGCAAAGTGTGTTGTTGAAGTCCTCCGACCTCAGAGTCTGACGAGCAGATCTTTCCCAAGGTCGGATACTGCATAGCCATGAGTTGGATCAACGGAACCCAATGAGCTCAACCTTGATGCCCTGCTCTCTCGGCAGAGTGCTTGGCTGCGTATAGCTCTGAGCATGGGTACAAATCTTGCTCGGCCAGTCGTAACTGCAAGACGGACAGGCCCTCGTGGTGTCGTTGGTACTTCCCAGCCAGCACTGGCAAGCCTCAAGTCAGTTTGACAATCCGAGGAAGGGCAGCAACCTTCAAGGCCTTGTCAGACGTCACAGAAGACGAGAAGCCTGCGGATTTCACAAGTCAATTCGACCAGGAACACGGGGTTTGTCCTTCATTGCATTATGAGCACCTGGACTGTAATAGGTCGTCATGTGCCCATCAAAATCATAGATAGGAACAATGAAAGGAGGCTGTGGGATCGGATCAGATCGAAGAACGACGAAGCAGACCCTCAGACCTGTGATGCATTGAAGTTTTGGTTGCTGCTTGTCTTGTAGGTCTTGGACTTGTAGAGAGTCTTCGGGGTGATGGGGACCTCGATCATATAAGGAAGCCCAGAGACAGGGGCGAAGTAGTTGTTCACTGGGTTGATCGCACAACGCCATGAGTTTGATGTAGCAGTGCTTCGGCTGCATAGCGGGATGTAAGTTTCAAGTGCCGGGGAAAGCTTCTCCAGGTGTGCAAGGCCAGGGAACTTAGCCGAGAGCAGCGAGGGCAGCCAATACTTGTCATTTGAAGACGCGAAGCTGTAACTCAACTTGCCACCAGCTGCATCTCGGAAAAATCGAGTGGTGTGACTGCAGAGGTCAACTTGCCCGGTTGAAATCGAAAAGAAAACGCATCGCGGCAACAGAATGCCTTGGGTCACATCGATGGGGTTGCCATCAACAGTCATGAGGTAGGCGACCAACCCGACCACGTTGTCGTTGACTACGATCTGATGGCTCTTGACCCCGAACACAACGCTGCGGTAGTTCAGCTTCCTGCTCGTTTGAGTGGGATCATCAGAGTTCTGGACGGTGATGACTTGGAAATCATTCTCGATGCCGATCTTTGGAACAGTGCTACAAGAAAACAAACAACTTCAGTAGGAGCGAGTAGAAACATAAAACACAAGGTTTCATACCCAGTATCAATCCCGGAGTTTTGGAAATCGGTGCAAAGCACATTGTTGGTGTAAGTGCAAGTCCTTAGAGTTGCGTTGGCTGACCTCCCCCATAGATAGGGACACCTCTGATCGCCAGCGCCATACACGTTCCCGAGAGAGAGCTGACCCTGGTCGTCTGACACGATCGTCCTCACACAAAGAATTCCATGGACACTTGCTACTCCAGCGCCGTAGGCGTTGCAGACAACGTTCGTCCCTGCTGTATAAGTGCAAAGTGGGTCGGTCTCAAAGGTCGAATAGAGCGCGAAGTTGACGAGCCTGGTACCGTCTGCGAATTTCTTGTCTATGTTCCACTGTAAACTCCCACCCAGAAGCGGCTTCATTTTCTGAGCTCGCAAGATGGGGACAAGGGACAGCAACACAAGGTAGCCTGCAAACAGCCGCACCTTCATGACTGTGTTCAGACTGAATCACTGAGCCATCATTCTGAGGGGCAGGCAACTGAGGGGAAAGAGAACGGAGTAGGAAGAGGAGGGGGATCGGAGAGAGGGAGGAGAGGAGAGCACGAAGACGAGGACGAGGGCGAGAAAGAGGACGAGGACGAGGACGAGGACGAGGACGAGGGCTTGGCAGATCAGCGACAGATCTGAGAGTGACTCTCCGCCATGACGGCCAATGACCTCAAAAGCCAAGTGAGGGTGGGGAGGGTGTACTACCCAAATGGGGGTAGGAGGGGTAGGGTGATCAATTTTGCGAATCAAGGGGTGAGCATGCAGGGGAATACCGGGGTTCTATTAGTATAAAACAATGATGACTTGGGGGTAGGGTGATTTGGTTTCTTGGAAGATTTTGTGGGGTGGTTGACTCTCAGGTAGGGTAAAGGGTGTGGTAGGTGGAGAATGGGTGGGGTGGTGGGAGAGGGGTGGTCAGTTATCAGGGCAGTGGTCAAATTCTTTTTTCGCTTTTCATGGGTGCAGCATCTGGACTGCTGAAGCGAGGAGGAGGAGGAGGAGGAGGAGGAGGAGGAGGAGGAGGAGGCAAGAGAGGAGAAGAAGAGGTGCGTACTATCACTTGTCCCTCTGATTGACAGGATACCTCATGATGGTTTTGTCTGTTAGCTGCTGTCAGGTCTGCGAGATGAAACTTTCAATGGCACAACCGAATCCTTGAGCACCTGTGAAGAGAGTACGTGTCCTGCTGTCCCTGTCTTGTCCCTTACAAGTGGATCAGTCGACCAGGACGATCAATCATCTTGCACAACTTCGTCGTGGGACTCGTTGGATGAAGTACCCTTCGAGGTATGAAAGATCGCAAACATTACGATTATGATTGAGGCCTGCCGGTTTCCAGATTTCTCTTGAGATTGTTGAAGATGTTTTCATTCTAGCGTGTAAAGATATCGCAAAGCTTCACTGGAGTCATGACGGTTGGCTCCCTCTATCGTCTTTTCCGCAGCTGATCAAAGCGAGTGCAGAATACCTGAATGTGAACCTTCACGAGGCTGAGCTTTCGTTCCAAAGAGAAGAAAAGGTCCATGGCCATGACCTGTAGAAGAGGATGAGTTACAAGTATCGTCATGTAGGAGGCCTTTGAAGCTGAGCAAAGGGCCATGAAGGAGAAGATGGAGTATGAAGCGTCACTGCTACAGGTGCGCCAGTTTACAATGACAAGGCCTATGGTGATATTGACGGTCGTATATCAGATGCAAAAAGAGAGGGATGAGATGGTTGTTGCTGGTGAGAGAATGTCCGGACATTTTTGTGCTCTGTGAAAGATTTTGAGAACAGAGCGAGAGGCGCTGAAGGAGATAGAAGAAGCTGAAGAAGCTGAAAGAATGGCAGAAAAAGGTAGGACGTCCCGAAGATCCGTGTCCTGACGTCAACAACCTAGAGCTGAGAGAGGCGGAAGAGGCGGCAGTTGACTATCAGAAGGTGCGAGTGCACTTTCAAAGCTCGTCGATCATGAAGTGATCATGAAGTGCCGTAGGAGCTGCAAGAGGCCAAGGACGCAGAAGAATTCTTACGGGTGAAGAAGAAAGAGAAGCAAAATCTCAAACGCTCCCTTGCAAGTCTGCAAAGGTCAGTCCAGGAATGGCTGACGGTGACAGCGATCAATGAGCATTGCTGAAATACAGATTGGCCAACGAAGCAGAAGTAGCTGCCAACGAAGCTGAAGTCAGAGTATGCTTTCTTCACGTCTCGCCTCCCATGATAACAGTCCCGTTAGTCTGCAGCTGACGACAACAATGATAGCCTGAAGAAAGAATCCGATCGACTCCGGTGTGCGAGCTCATGTAGACTAAATCTTTGAGATGGCATGACACGTCACGTAAAGCATTCAGGCAATCATCGCAAGAAATCGAGAGACGCTGGCTCTCGAGGCCTTGCAGGAAGCGGAGAAAGAAGTGCAGGCAGCTGAGCTGATAGCAATCAAAGAGAGGCTGGAGGTAGAAGTTTCTAAGCACACCCTTGAGGCTCATCTGCTGCCAGGCTGACGAGGCTCAAAGACGAGCTGAGAAAGAGCTGAGAGAGGCAGAGGAAGCAAAGCTGCGGGCGATCAAGGTGAGAGCATCTCTTAGGTTCATCGGGTCAAAATCACCAACAGGAACGACAAGAGGCCGATGAGGCTCGCGCTCGATACGAAAAAGAGCGACGGGGTGCCAAACTCAAGCTCAATCCCAGCTGATTCTAATGCGTTGACAGAGTACGAGGAGGCTTACACCAACATGCTGAGAGAGCAGCAGGAGTTCGAAGAAGCGAAGGTGAATGAGGTTCATCTCGACCGATCTGATGGCTTCGAGCAGATCAAGGCAGAGAAGGAGCGGAGAGAAGCGGAGGCGGCGAAGTAGCAGCGAACTTCCGATGACTCGCCCGTCCCATCTCACTTGACTTGCAGGAGACAGATGGAAACAGCCATGGTGCTGATGACCTCCCAGCAGTGCGTGTCGGTGACTTGGCGTCCTGATGCTCCTTGAAGACCGCTGAAAGCTTATCCAGAAATCACTTGAGGCTCAGAGGCTAGTTTCGAGGGGGCTGAAGGTGAGATTCTGATCTCCTTGCCCTCCTCCTCATCCCTTCTAGATCATCCCCGACGACTACAAAACCCTCGAGGTACTCCCACCAACGACCATCCCTCCTAACGCGGCGCAAGGACGCGATTCTGAGCTTCCAGACCGGAGGAGGAGGGGGTGGGACGCTGGAGGTTTTTGTCCGGAGAGGTCAACCCGAGGCTTTCCTCCCCATCCTGTCTCTGACGACCACAAGGTCTTCATCGAGTGGCGAGAGACTCCGACGCGGAGGAAGTGGAGGTCAAGGATGGCGGCGAGTGAGGACTGGGCTGACCCTCATTCAGCTCAATCTGGCGGTGCGGATCTTCGGGGAGGATGGGGCCGGCCTAGAGGGCTCCCTGATCCTGTCAGGAAGGTAGGAACTGAGGCGGACAAGGTTATGACGACTTGGGCAGGTGAGGGATCGGGGACGATAGAGAACGTGCGGGTGGGAAGTTCAAACTGCTCGACTATCTTCGTTGGGGGAGGGGAGTGGGGAATCAGCAGGTGCAGCCTTGTGAGTGACAGAGCCTTGAGCTCAGTAGTCTCCTGTGCCGGCTCGTCAAGGCTGCAAGTAAGGGTCCGATGGAGGTGGCGAACGTATTCTGAGAGCATGTCAAGGTGGTGCACACGACGATCAGCGGTCTGAACGAGGACAGACAAGCTCGCACGGGGGTCCTGACGCACGACAACTCGGAGGCAAGACTGAGCGACTGTGTCGTGTGCTTCTGCTCCTCGAGGTGAGAAGGGCCTCGTTTTGTTCGCTCGCTCATGTCTTGCTGCAGCGCTCTCTCGCTGTCTGATGCATCCGCAATGCGGCTCGAGGTGACGTGGCATGTGTTTGGCCCGATGTTGATCGACTTCCCTCGCAGCGCTGTAGAGTCCACGATAGCAAAAGTCTGATCGACCGCGATCGGCGAGGAAGAAATCAAACCTGCGAGCTCGAGCTGAGAAACTGCCACGTGGACTGCGAGAAGGTGAGGGTGTGAGTTTGCAAACACTCGGGGCCTCATGACGGCAAAGGTCTGGAAGGAAGGAAGTTGCCGGGAGCAGGTCTTAGTGAACGATCACGGTCTAGACATTCTTGACGAGTGTCTTCGGGCATTGACATACTGGCGCTACAGGGAATCGATATGTCTTCTTCACATCTTCGCGAGAGGGGAACCTCTTGCCTGACGGCTGCCTCACGAGCCTTGAGTAAGCAGCACGAGCAAGATCAGATTTCCGGCACATCCAGTTCCCCCAGCAGCTCCTCAACCTGAAGAATCTTCAGCTTGAGGGTTGAGAAGGGAACTCTTTACATCTGGGAGAAGGTTACGATGTTTCGCCTGCTTGTAGGCATACCAGTCGCCATGTCCGCTGTCCCTGCATGGCTTCAGGCTCCGGATATCGTCTCTTGTAAGAAGGCCGACCTTCTCTGCGGAACCTCCCAAGCAGCATGCAGCTCGTCAGCTGCGCTGCTCCCTGCGTGTGTTGTGGGCTGCTGTTCGTTTTGTTCCTCATCAAGAAGTTGAGGAGAAGGAGATGCAAGATGAGGAAAAGGAGGCTGACTAGGAGGGAAAGAGCAGCATGAGGATCCACGAGTCACCGAGCTGTGGCTGATCTTTTCAAAGGAGCAGCCGTCATGGTCGATCACGATCGGCGCCGCGCGGGGGGGCAGGTCGTCTACGGAGATCTAGCAAGAGATGAGATGCAGCATGACGAGAGTGGCAGACCTCTTCGCTCTCCAACGAGCTGGATTCGTGAAGGGCCGACGACCCCAGCAGAGGGAGGCAGGTACTCACTGCATACTCACAGAGCTCGAGATAGTGGCGGCTCGTCTCGATGCTGCTGATGTCATTGCAAGAAGAGAGCCAGGTCAAGTCACCTCAAAGGCGTTTGGGTCTGGACAGATGATCGGAAGGCTTCAGAAACGCGCAACAAAAGCTTGCAGAGCTTCCGCAAGAGAGCCTCTGCCGTTTGACATTCAACATCCGTGGAGAATGAGCGAAGATTGGCTTCACCTTCACGTCCTTCCGCAGAAGTTCGTGACGATTTTGAAAGCTGCTGCCACCTGGCTTGCATGTCTGCTCTGGAAGAACAATCAGGAAGCAGCGGCGATATCATGTGACGTCACATGATGCGATGTGCCCCGTCGGCACATTCTGCTGCCTCTCTCGGGCTCAAGGTGAAGTCCAGCCTCTTGTCTCTGCTCATCACCGAGTGGAACTCTCCGATCATTGACTGATCGCTGGCGAGGTCGTAACAGAGGAAGGACGGCAACGACTCGCTTTGCGAGGGTTGAAACTCGCTCCTAGAGTCATCGAGATGCTGGAACTTGACTTTCCCTATGCCGAGATTGATGTCTTCGTCTGAAAATGTCAAGTTGAACAACCCATGGATCGCAGCATTCCAACTGGATCTTGTCAGGAGGACCTCCCAACTCGATCCCTTGCAACCCACCGGATCTCGGCGCACGCAGGAGCCAAGACAGCAGCAGGGGCCTTCATAGAAGCCATCCACTCATCCGCATGCTGCCGCAAGTGTGTCACTAGGCGGAAGACCTGAGGCAGGGGCGAAGAACCTCCAACTGCACGTTCGATCTCTGGGCACGTGCTGATCCTAAGGACGCAAAGGCTCTTGACAACAACGCCCGATTCCTTCCAACACGCCTCAGGCCATGTCAGATGCAAAATCCCTTGACCTCCGCACACTCCGCATGCTGTCTTCTTCTCTGCTGCTCGTTCCACGATCTCTGGGCAGGGAGGAATCCAGGAAGATCGAAGGAGGAGAAACTGATTGAGAAGCAGACATGGGGTACAAGATTGATGACATGTTGCACTGCCGATGAAGGAAGGTACTTGCTGTTCACACTGCCGATGAAGGAAGGTACTTGCTGTCAAAAGACAAGTTCACCTCAAAGGTAATTGTGAAAGCAATAAAAAACGATCTAAATATGTCGAGGGACCAAACAAGAATATGTCATTATTTCCTTCTTTCTTTCGTCCTAATATCAAGCATTCTCTACCTTCCTTCATCATGATATCAAGATATCTATCTTCCTTCATCATGACATCAAGATATCTATCTTCCTTCATCATAATATCAAGCAATCTCTACCTTCCTTCATCATAACATCAAGCTATCTCTCTGCTATCTCTGCCCTGTGCATCGATGAAAGTTTGTGGGAACCCTTTCTGCTTGCTTTGACCACTCGTTTTCGTTGGCCGTATTTTCTATCTACCTGATGCTGCCCTCCTCAATCATTACGACGTCTTTCTGAGGCAAGCGCGTTTGATCTCTTGTTCTCACCGGCAACGCACTGAGTCACGTGGCACTGCCACGGTCACGAGTCCAGGAGCCTGGTCGGACGGTCCGCCGGCCGCGGGCCCCCGGTCGGTTGAACTGAGTTGAACCTCAGCCGCTTGATCGGATCCTGGATCGGATCCAACCTAACCAAACTCGGACGGCCTTATGAAGCCTTGAAGCCTTGCTGGCACTGAGGAGTGACTCTGCACTGATTGCACTTCTCACTGCCAACGGGGTGCACACTGAGGGCTCCGGCCCCCCCGGCCCGCCGGGCTTTGCGGCGGCGTGACCGTACTACCGTACGGCGGTGCGGCCCCGGCACGGCCCGACTACGGCGGTCACCCGGCCGGGCCCGGGCCTGGACTCCTTGCCCGGGTCAGGGCGGGCTGACTCGGGGCGCTAATCTTTGCTTGGGGGGTGTTCACTGGTAGTGAGAGGGTGGGGTGGAGTGATGGGGTGGGTGGTACCATAGTGGCTGGGGTAAACTAAAAGATAGTCGGAGCGGCTCTCAGGGACGGGCACTACTACAGCAGGGGTGGTACAAAGCGGCAGATGAGACACAAATGGGGGTAGGGTGATATGGGAGGGGTGATTGCAAGGGATGGTCGGAGAAGGGGGTGTGGAGTGACGTCGGATGAGAGTATTTTGTTTTGAAGATGCTACAGCGGCTCACGACGAGAGTATTTTGTTTTGAAGATGCTACAGCGGCTCACGACGAGAGTTGATGATAGATATGAGATGATAGATATGAGATGATAGATATGAGATGATTAGATATGAGATGATAGATATGAGATGATAGATATGAGATGATAGATATGTATGATAGATATGAGATGATAGAGATTAATGATGATATGCATGCGATGATAGGCGATAGAGATGGTCGTCGTAGAAAAAGAGATGAAAGGCTGAGATAGAGGTAATAGAGACAGTGAAGTGATGATCGACGGCATGAATGAATGATGAATGAGAGAGTTAGACAATGATGGTAGAGATTATGAGACACGTACAGAAATGTCAGGCCTGAATCGGAGAAGATGAACATGAAGATTCAGATGATAGATATGCCAATGAAGATAGGCTAGAAGGTGATGATGGTCAGATTTCATCACCTGTGGAGGGGACGATGAGAGTGATGCATGACGATAGCTACGGCGATGAAGTTGTATGGCGATATGATGTTCTTTGCGAGTGAACCTGATAATTTGCAGGAGAAGATGGAGAGTATGCTGGATCGATCAGATCTACGATCTCCAGGAGAGGCTGGATTGGACGAAGAGACGAAGATGGAGAGGATGGTTCAAAACAAAGTAGATGCCATAGAAAATGTGCTTGAAACTCTTCGATTACGAGTCTTCTGACAGCGAGTTGCAGATTGTGGTTGCTGGCAGTGAGCGTAAATATCTAGTATGCATATTCACGCTTGGTTGCGATCCGAACAGCAACGTTCTTTCTGACAGATCTCTCAAATTCATGCGCGATTGCGGTTCGTCATGCTCATGCAGCCACTATGATGAGCTCGACTGAGTCCTCGTGCAGGAAGTGACGCTAAGACCATCGAAGAAGCGAGATGCTGCCCTTCCTTCCGAACGTCTCTGCTTAAACGTTTTGCTGAATGCAACAAGAAGGCAAAATACGACATTTCATCTGACATGGATGGTGATGGATTGTTTACAGGTATTTGAAGAATGGAAGAAGCACAAAACAAAGAGTCAACCACTGCAACTCAGGAGGTTTATGATCCTATCGCGTCCTGTATTCTTCTACTGCTGCTCTGTTCAAGATGCTGAAATTTTGCAGTTTGACCAATCAGATGGAACTTTAGATCAGTACGGAAACGTGCAAAGACAAGTTGTGATCAACACTTACAATGACGTGTGGGATGCCTTCTTCTTTCGTTGCCTCTGACAGCATTTCAGATTTTGGAGAGTATGTATGATGCTGTAGATAATCCAACCCAACAGGTGAGAAGCGGCGTTTGCTCTGAGGCGAGGTTGACTCTCCTCCAGGAGGCGCCACAAGGAAGCAATCAAGCGGGAACGGAGGAGGAGGGTGCTGGATACGTTGATAACCGTGATCACCGTCAACAATTCAGTGCCGATGCGCTCTCGCAGGATGACACGAAGCCGGAAGGGGACGAGGAGCTCCCTTTTGGCCCTTTTGTGAATGCCCATCAGAACGTGAATGTGAATGATTTAGTCAACAATGGAATGTTAGGAGCAGGAAAGCAGAAGAAAGGTGCAAGGAGCGTTGGCGCGGTACTGTCTGACAGTGAGTTTCAGATCTTCTTGTACGCTCGCGTGAACCTGCTCCTGCTCTACACAAACGAATGATATCTTCCTTCAAGGCCTGCTTCCCGTGAAGGCAAACTCGTTGAATCTTGCTTCATTGATTGTCTCTCAGATGTTTTGGACCGCATTCCCAGATGTTAGATGATGATATTTTGAATCCTGGTAAGTCAAACTATTCGCTTTCTTTGATTTCAGGTGACGTTGCGATCGGCAAGGCCATACTGTTGCAAAAATGCGGAAGCAACCTGGAAGAGCAGGGGAAAACAAGCAGCAGGTGAATGGTGACTGATGGGCTTCACAGCACTGCTGAGCGATGACTAGCAGCATGAAGCCAAGACACCTGAGCGAGAGATGTCAAACGCTGCAGCAGACTTGAACATCTCACCAGGATTCGACGGGAACTCATACCGCCACCTTCTTGACTCGTCGATCTCCAGCCCGTACCAGCAGATCAATTCTCAAGCGGTGCGACGTGAGCAAGAGCTTGTGAGCATGGCTGACTACTGTTGTCATCAGATGTTGATGTATCAAGCCAAGAGCCCGCCTCGTCTAGAAGCCAAGGTTGAAGATCTAACAAGGTACTGCCGGAACTTTGATGTTGACCTGTGACATGATGGCTTGCAGTGAAGGCATAGAGCATGAAAGCAAACATGTAAACACAAGCGCTTTCTTCAATTCAGTTGTCCCCTCAAGAAATCAAGGCGTAGATGAAGTACAAGGGACTTCACCAAGTGTCAACTTGTTGAGTTGTTCACAGATACAAAACAAAGCACAAGATGAAATGGATCAGGTTGCGAATCAATGGAGCAAGGTCATGATCCTTTCAAGGAATTCGAATGCTTACAAAGGGTTGCAGATTGCAACGGCTGATAACCGATCAGTGGCGATAGGCGTACAATGTTAGGGTTCACAAAAAGTTAATCTTCTCAGGCATTCCATTTCATCAGAATTTTTCACAAAATTCTTGTACTGTAAACGTTCATGTTGTCGATTCTCAAAGTCTTTTCTGCAACTCACGTAACTTGGAATAGACTTGTAGCAGTCGTCGTAGTATCGGTCTTGCTGGACTGCTTTGACTGCAGTAGCTGTAGCAGGTCTTGTCGCAAGAGGAGTAGATGTATCCCTGTTGCGGTGCCCCCGTTGACAGCGCGTCTGATATGCAAAAGTTCCTGCAGCACTTGAAGCAATCGGAGCTAGCTCCTGTCGCCCTCTCATTGTTGCAGCTGTAAAACGACTGCGCAGCATCGTTACAACAGCTCAAGGGCCCCGCAAGGCCTCCATGCTCACCGGCACGTTGGTGTACAGCAAGGAAGCAGACAGCGAGATTCGGTTCCGCTGGTTCGACACTTGTACTGTCAGGGTCGCCTTCACGCTTCGCTCCTGCGTGTTGACATTCTGCCTCACAAGGGGCATGGGAGGCACTTGGCAGAGGAGTTTGCTGTCCGATACCCACGTGACAGACTGGCAGGGCAGCTGTAAATGCCGTCAGCCGTCGTTCCCTCAAGCTTCACTGACCTGCTTGCGTGTGGAGACGAGAACCTGACTGGGAGCTTGCCAAGTGAACTTGTATCGACTCGCCAACACCTTCTGGTACTGCTGTTGAGGTCCGAAGTTCCTCCCCAGGATGGTGACGGTGGTCATGCCGTGATAGTCGACGCTGTTTGGCGAGACTGACAAGATGGCAGGGGCATTGTATCCATACGAGTGACTTTGTACAGTCGCGACTCCGTGCCAGTAGACCGTCAGGTCTTGGAAGGAACCGACGCCCGGTGGAGCGATGCAGACAATCGCTGGGATGGGGTTGGGAGGAACCCAGTCAGCGCAGAGGGTGTCAGCATTGTTGGTACCACTGACAGCCTTGAACACGATGCTGCATGCTGTGGCAAACGTCTCCGGGGAGGAGGGAGACTGTCGGACGGAGACAGCAAGGTACTGAGAGTTGATGACTGTGTCTTGATCTGTAGGAGTTGAGTCGATGTTGGACAGGTTGGCAGCTCCGAGGATGCCTGACGGGCCTTGTCTGTCGACGTCAGAGGGCAGCATGTAGTATCCCTGGATCGTGATCACGTTTCCTCCTGACGTCTGTCCCTTTGCTGGGCCCACGGGGATGGGCAGCGACTTATAAGCCGTTATGATCTGCGTCGAACGGTCTCAGCCTTGACCTCTGGCTCCTCCCCCACCTTGATGTTCGAGTCCGTCGACGCACAGGTGCCGGTCTTGAGCTGGGCATTCAGAGGACAGTAGGGGCCTAGAGCGAGGTCAGCTGGTCGTCTCGCCTCCAAGCCATACGTGACATACCGACTGAGGTGTTGCAGAGAAAGGAGAGGTACTGGGGAACTTCACAGCCGCACTGCTTGGAGACTGCAGCGGTCCTGTAAACGCTTCCAGCTGTTGACAATGTTCAGGTCGTCTCTACCCCGACAACTCCAGCTGTTCTTTACCGTCTCGGTTCACCCGATACTGCGTGAGACCATACTTGCCCGAAAGATAATTGCCAACTCGATCCATTTCCTGCAGCGAGAGAGACTCGTTGTAGATCAGTAGCTCCGCAAGGTCGATCGTTCCGAACCCTGCAGCTCCTCGTCATGTTGTCACTCTCACGTCACCATTCAACACCAGCAGACGCCCTGTTTGCTTGATCCAACACTCCAAGTCGAAGTTGTTGAATTGCCGGGGGGGTGGCGTTGACGACACTGAGGGGAGGGGTGGGAGAGGCTGGAGAAACGAAGTGAGGGGACGTCGCTTGTTAAGTGAGATGTACCAACAAACCCATCGATGAAACCTTCTGCCAGGCTGCCGTTCACTCGCAGAGACACGATATGCCAGTTGTTGGAGCTCTGATAAGATCGGGCACCTGATGGCCCCCATAGATCTAGACATGCTGTTGGGATGCTGCGGTCCCATTCATCTCCTGCATCCAATCCTGCAGTTCATTCACCTCGAAAAGCTGCAGCCTCCCTGAGCCGAGCAGACAGCAGCGCAACTGTTATCGTCGAGCTTCTCTCCGTACTCCAACTGTGATATTCAAACATCAAATCCTGTATTTTGATACTGTGCATGGCTTTGCGTACGTTGAGGGTTGAGAAGGATGTGATTCGCCCCTGCTCGCATTGAGGACAACTAGTCCCCGAGCATCCCAACCCTTGCAGGCCTGAGTTGTTGACGCAGCTCGTGCAGGAGGAGAAGAGCGACAGACTAGCCAAGGAGTTGCTCGCGGAGCTCTGTGCGATCGTGTCAGGAGAGAAGAATGCAAGCAAGCAAGCGTCACTTCGGCTAGGTTGAGAATGCCCATCACTCCTGTATCGCCCACGTTTTGATGTGTGCGAACAACAAGGAAGATGGTGTATCTGAGAGACACAGGCATGACTGAGGAAGCAGCCGAAGTTCAAACCTGTTCTGTTGGAAGGGGTTCGTCTCGAAACCTGTCCCTATCACTCAATTGCTGCTTGACTCTCTATGATCGCAAACCTGCTTGCCCGTTGGTTTCCATCTGCAGAAATTGACCTGAGGAAACGCCTCAGCCATACAAGCGGCGACTCGAGGCTTTACCTTGCGTGCCCTCAGTGTTATTTCGAGAGAATCGAACTACCCCCCATCCATTCAAGACGTTGGCCTGATACGTCGGTTGCCTAGTCGTCGAGCTTCGTTAGTCGTCCCACGTGCTGAGGTAGAATGGTATGCTCTACCACATTGACACGTTCTGAACCAGTTTCTCGTTGGCTTCATTGGCTGTGAAGTTTGACTGAGATGTCTCCCTTTCAAAGATTTCGGAATGTCACTCGCCTCCCACGAGAATCTTCTGCTGGGAGCAGGACGAGGTTGAGGGCATTCCGTTGTAGCAGATGTTCGCGACGTTCTGCCTGCACGAGGACGAGGCTGAGACTCAAGCGAGAAGGATCGGATCAGTCACACCATTCGCTGACGGAGCTTCCGCTGGCAACCTTGTCTCGCAGGAAGACATCAGGCGTGTACCAGAACCTTGAAGCCGTTAGGGCGGTCACTAGCGGAGGGGCCCACCTCAGGTTAGGATGATAGGCGTTGGGCTGCTTGTATCTGCTGCCCCGTCAGAGCCGGCGGAAGTGACGGGAACTCGCCTGGTCGTCAACGTAGTCGGTAGCTTGACACCTCCCACGCTACTGCCAGGAGGAAAGTAGGACGAGCTGCGGACAAGAGTGAGGCTCCCCTAGCAACACAAGTGAAGAGAAAGTGAGGAGAAGAGCGAGTGAGGAGAAGAATTTGATCAAACGGTTCTAAACGTGTCCACATACCTGCCTGTAATGACAGAGAGGGAAACATCCGACCATTGTGTTGATGTGGAGTGTATCATGGACACGAGTATCATGATCCTCCAGGTCATGCTTGGCTCCACGTTTCTCTCTTGCTTCCTTCCCATCACAGGCACCTGTGTCTGTGCCCACCTTGTCGTCCTGGTCTACCTTCTCCTCTCACCTCCCCGCTTCTCACCTTCCCTCCCTCTGTATGGCTACCTCGCTAATTGTTTTTGACTCGTCTGCCTACATATTTCTACCTGCAGCTGTTTCCTCCTCTCCTCTCCCCTCCTCTCCTCTCCTCTCCTCTCTCCTCCTCTCCTCTCCTCTCCTCTTCTCCTCCCCTTGCATCCTCCTTTCATCCCCTTGCATCCTCCTCTACCCTCTCCTGCGTTCTTCCCCCATCTAGTCCGCTTTTTGTAGGGCCAGTAAACTGCAACCTTATCCTGAGAAACTATTCCTGTCCCGTCTTAAGTCACATGCTGATAAGTTTCGCCGGACACACTCGACATTTCAGATCTGAGGTGGGCATATAAATTTATTTTCGCCGGATTAATGGGGAACGTCACGGCGTTGCTCGTCTGGCTGATGCCATAACAGGAAGGTATCCAGCAGAAGCAGAGAAGTCCACCGGCTGCAAGGACGTCAGACGACAAACATGGCGGCGAGTCGTCAAGGCAACTCACTGCTTGATGGACTGCAGGCACTTGTGCAGGAAGTGTTTCTTGTCTATCAGGAACTTCCAACCTCAAGCAAACTTTTATGAAGCCTGGCAGACCATGACTTCATATGATACCTTTGACTATCTTTGGAATGACAACTCCCCATGCATGTGCCTCCCCCAAAGGCCTTTCTCTTGCTCCTAGGGGTAACGTCATGTCAACGATGAAGCATTCAAGTACTACTCTTCCTCTTGATATTGTCAAGAATTGTATTCCTTGTTTGATTTTCACCCTCTTAGAGACATACCTGCAAAAACAAGATTAAGCATCATTGAAAGGCCGTTTGAATATTTCCTGACATTTTCCACTCATTGAAGCTCTCGAGAACTCCTTTTGGCATCCAGACATTCAATATCTGAGATTGTGGATGTAATTACTCATTGTCAGAAAGTTTCTTAATTTAGGTTCACCTGAAGAGAATGATAGTGGGAACTGAAGAATGCATATGTCAATCATTGCCGTCTTAGGATTTGAACGCAGAATCAGTGTGAGGCTTGCTATACTTGCCTGCCACTGAAGTCTCGTTGAAGAGCAATAAATTCCTATCAAAGTACATCGATCAGTTGGACAATTATACCACAGTCTCTGTCACATTGATGCGCTTTAATTCCTGTCGAATATGAAGCTGTATAGAACACGTAAGTATTGTACACCAGTGATTTGAAATCGATCTGATACTTGTCTTCCCCTAACAACCATCAATTGTTGTTTCATGTTCAGCGACTACCATAGCAATCGCATATCAGAGTCAGTAAGTTGTTTCTTATCTTCAGATTGAAGAACCCGAATTATTGTATCACTTGCTTCACTTAAAATCTTCATCCGACGTATATCTACGATGAAGTGGATTGAAAACATGAAATCGTTGCTTGCAGAAGTTCTCACCTAAATCAACACTTGCGTCTTCTGTATCAGGCATTGTTGATCTTTTGATCTTTGACAACAATCAAGAGCTCGGGATGTTGCGCATTACAAACCTCGGAGCCAAAGCGCTTCTTATCTTCATCCCACTCTCCGTAAAATCTGTCTAAGTCTTCTATCTGGTCAACAAACATCTCGTGAGATGATTTAAGAGTTTGATTGCAGGGATGAGCAGTTAAACACCATTTCTGCAACGGCGCCGAGATTCTTGACGAGAAGGTGCTTCTTGTAATTCAGCCACCTGATGAGATCTCAGCCTCAAAGAGGACAACTCATCTTGAGATTCAACAGTATGTCGACTTCATCCGCGCTCCCCGCCGAATGGGAGTGAAACCCTTGCTCTTCCTTCCAGAGCTGATATCAGCGAAACAAACACTTGCGGTTGCCTTAGAGTGTTTCTACTTCATGCGCACTCGAAGGTTCCTTGCTGTGGATAATTCTGGCTACTTGAACATCCCGTTCTCTGTTTTCCTATCAAGATATGTTCACACGTTGTGTATAGGTTACATCCGAGATCTTGACCATTTCTCTTCGGCTGCTATCTCTTATCATCCTTCGTTTTCTCAGTTTGTCTTCTCTCTAAAAGTAATGTCAGATTGGTAGTTGGTGTCCTGCCAGCTCGAGCAAGATACCAGACGGTTTCCCGCATCTTCATTTCTCCTCCTAATCAGCTGCGTTACATGATGTTGCTTTGCATCTCCTGTAACCCGCAAAGATCAGGCTAGTGAAGACATGAGAAGAAGCACCAGGACCGTCGCTCCACATCCTATCCACGATTTCTTGTAGACTGTCCTCCAACCTTGAGTCATCGTCTAGCGCTGTACAGACGTCTTGAGACAAAGGACATGGTCGAGGTGATGAGAAGTACCATCAGTCAAGGCTGAGATCTTGTCTTCGATGTATTCTTCTACCCCCCCCTTCCTTCCCACATCACTCCTGCTTATGCCACTCCGCTTCTGCATCCCGGACCGTTGACCGAGCCGGGGGGGGGGAGTCGAGTCAGAGTCAAGACATCAGGGTTACGGTTATGGACTTCTGGAATTTAACGGATTAATAACGAGCTGTAACGATCAACGGCTTGTCTGCATCATGGCTGGGGCGAGGGGCGACGTTATGGTACAGGGGGAGGCTGAGAGGCTGGTGGAGGAGATTCGAGTGTTCGGAATCGAAGAGATCGGGCTGAAAGCGTGGACGAAGCAGCACCAGGTCATCGAGAAGCTGAACATGCAGGCCCAGATCAGCGTCATGAACCAATCCGATGAGTATGTTGTAGAGGCCCTGATAGACCACGAGAAGATTTCAACATTGATCCACTGCCTGATTGTATGTGAGGTATGGAAGGACACAGTGCTGGTAAAGGTACAGCAAGACTTAGCAAGCTCTCATTACGTCAAGCTCTACCTCATCATGTACCATGAAGCTGTCATCCTCGGTTTACTCGAGAAAGCCTTCTACCATTCGTCGGCCGTGAGCATGGCGGGAGATAGTCTCATCGAGCTCTCAGATTACTGCTATAGGAAGACTGTTTATCTTAACAGCTTTCACTCTGATACTGAAGAAGAATCACCCAAGAGAGATCAAATTCTCAATATGAAAGACATTGAAAGATTGGAGGAACAAAAGAAGAAAATTGACTTCTCATGTGCTATCAGTGCTCTGACAGTGTTGCGGTTCATTGTCGAAAATGCCGAAACTGTTCCCATATCTGTTTTGAGCAGATTGCTCACCGAACAGGTAGAGATCACTTGGTTTGAAACCCCTTCGCTGATGCCTTTTTGCAAGGACATTATGCAAACGTTGATACCCTTATTAGATGATGCACCGTGGACTCGGAAGAAGGACAAAGTGATAGAGAAATACGAGGATGGAAAATGGATAGAGGTTTCTCAGGATGATTTACACCGAATTTCAAAAACAGAGGCACAGGTTTGAGATTGAACAATTTCTCAACAACAGTGATTTGTGTCCAGGTTTGGTTGACTCTGAACTGCCTTCTCCTACATCCTGAATGCCGAAGAAAATATGAATGGACTGAGAACAGAAAGTCCCTCGTCATGAAATTGAGCAAATACTTCAACGAGCTCCTTATTGATCAAGTAACTAATGCATTTTTGTTGTCTACGGTTGATTTGCCTGTAGCTCCCCATTCTGTCTGAGATGAGAAGGTTGGTTGAAACTCTTGCATTCAGTGCACCCAATTCAGGGACAGAACCGCGATCTGTCGTGATAGAACAGATTCCTGAACTCCGAGATAAGATTATGCGGGTGAATCGCTCGATTACCTGTAGCGATTGTATGACTGGTTGTGGCCAGAGCGATTTCAAGGCGATCGCTGCGATGTTTAAGTCCAAAATGCAGAACGAAAGCCCGGAAGATCAGAAGGTGATTCTCCTTTTGAATCTTGAACGAGTTGAAGGGAACCACTGACAGGCGGAGATGAGTGAGCTAGCCGCAATGTATGACATGCTGAATGTCGAAGATTTCATGGAGGTAGGACCAACATGCTTCTTTGCATGCAATCGTGACCCAGTACTGTTCAGGACCCGAAATGTGCTGTCTGTGGAGCGCCTGCGGAGAAACGTTGCTCGAAGTGCAAGATGGAATGGTACTTGAGAAATCGGATTATGATGAAGTGGTCTGACAGTGGTCAAGGTATTGTGGAAGGAAATGTCAAGTAGCAGCATGGAAGAAGCACAAGCCCTTTTGCGAAATGATCTCAGGTATTTCCTTGGTTTCAAATGTTTGTACATTGAATTCTAGAACTCTACAGGACTAGCTGATGAACGCAAAGGGAGCGAGGGGGCTCCATGTACTAGCAACGAGGATTCTGCTCAAAAGAACAGCTATCATCAAATAGAAATTCTAGACTGAGTACAAGTTTGTCTTCAACACGTACTTCCATAACACACTTTTATGCCTTGACTCGGCTGAATCTTTGACTCTAATTCATGGCCTTCAAACCGATGTATCTTCATACTCCGTGAGGAGAAAGCAGTTCGCGTTCTTTTCCATGTATCGCAAGAACTCGACGAGCCGTGGGTGCAAATTCTTTGCCGTAACCTCAGAGACATTTGCTTTCGCGAGAATTGAAGGCAACTTGACAATGAGACGCAGCAAGTGTTCTCCTCCATAGATCTCGCTTGCTGGAGTCTTGCCCTTACTCCTCCTGATCTTTTCGTACTGGTTTCTTTCCTGTTGATAAAGTAGCATCATGCTGAGAGCCTTGTCAAAATATTCCCGCAACCCATCAGTCATTTCTTTCAATATTTCCGCCTCCACTGAAGTGGGAGGCTTATTGTTTGTTTTCACGAACGAGACAAGAATTTCCTTGACTGAAGGACTACGAGGCAAAGGCACTAACTTTTCGCTGTGCACCTGCTCAGCTTCCTTCATCAGATGCACTTGAAGCGTATGGGGAATGATCAAGGTAATCACTGGTTTGGTTGATTCAACAGTGTGGATAAAGTCATCCCCTGGTTGGGAGCTTTTGCCGTTGCTGCTTGCAAGACTTTCCTTTAACCTTGCAGACAGCTCATTTTGCACCTTGCGACTCTCTTCATTATCAGGGTAGAGCATTGCTTCTTTGACCCATTCATCCCACCTCGCTTTCCAGCCTTGATAATGTACGTAGTATTCCCAGTTCAGCCCCACCTTACGCATTTTCAAGATCTTCGCTGCATACAATTGTCCCCTGTTCAACGCCAGCAAGAGTTGATTCAAGGCATACTTGCAATCCCCTACCACGAGATCATCTTTACTCGGAGGGGGAGCGGCAGCTGCTACTTCGCGTTTCTGCTTTTTGGATGGCGGCATTAAAAATACCTTAAAAGAACGAGTCAGATGAGATTAGATAAAATTTTTGTAGAGAAAACATATCAGGATCAGGAGCAAGGAGCAGGAAAAGCGGGGCGAGCAGGAGCAGGATCAGGAGCCAGGAGCAGCAGGGATAGGCGTGCAGAGCGAGGAGGAAGGGGAGGAGGAGGAGGAGGAGGAGGAGGAGGAGGAGGAGGAGGAGGAGGAGGAGGATCGGGAGGAGCGGGAGGAGCGGGAGGAGCAGGAGGAGGAAGGAGGAGGAGGAGGAGGAGGAGGAGGAAGGGGATCGGGAGGAGCGGGAGGAGCAGGAGGAGGAATGAGGAGGATGAAGGAGGAGCAGGAGCACGGATCAGGAGCAAGGGAGCAGTTATGTGGATAAGTACGGAACAATGGAAAAATGATTCAGAGTATCACCGCCTGCTCGCGATCATCCTGAAGACTCTAGTACAGTTCGAGGATGTCAACCAGAAGTTCATATGGATCCGCGTAGCAGACCTCCTGCTCTTCTGCTT